ATTCAAGAAATTCTTAAATTTTCCTAGCCCTCACATCTATGGTAAAGTACTTATTGTAAAAGGTCTCCTTAAATCGTTCCTATGTTAAAATAGCATGTCTACTATTAGCCGTTCGTTTTTCCATCAAGTATGGGCATCTTTGGTAAGCATAAAGATAATCTATGACACGTGCTCATTATCGATAATTTGCAGGTACTCAAATATTACCTCTAAAGACTTAATCCATTCCTCGCCTATCATAGAATTAGCACTCCCGACAAACTCTTAGGGATTCATTTTGTGAAACCTCTCCACTGCGTCATTCCTAGGCGAGGCGAGGCGAGAGGTTGTTGATGCATCGTTAGAAGCCGCCTTATTTGCTTTGCGTGAGTTTGTTATTGTTCTTACATTACTTATTGCTATTGTTACATTATGTCTATCGGATGATTCAAAGCTTCTTATGGATTCTCATTGTTAGTACTCGGAGGTCCCTTCTTCTCCTACTCGTATGGGATTCTATCTTGACATGATTTGACTTTATACATGTTACGTTATGTTTGGGTTAGTTTTGATATCAAAAGTGTTAATGCCATGTATCACGTAATAGAAAATAGCTAATATATACAACAAAACATAGCATACATATCAAACTTTCATAGTGACATACACTTTTACATCCAAAAGGTTTCATGCCATATTTACACCTAAAAAGGCATTTCTATTGACCTTAAAAGGTGCACGAACGGTACTATATCATGCAACACGTTTCCTAGGCACACATATACTCGATCAAGTTAACATATTGAACGCGTCGTGGAAAGGAGTAGTCGACTCTCCACCGATCGATAGCATCAATCGACGAGGCATGAAATAATAACGAGTGTGAGTCGAAGCTCGGTAAGTAGGGTGATGTATGTGAGATGCAATGCAATCCTAACACTTAGCCTTTCCTCTTTGATTTTAATCCGAATACCTTAGGTATTAGTAAATCTGCTCTATTCTTATTTCTCGATGATTATCGAATCACCAACTACTAGCAATGAAATTATCCCTCATAGTAGCACACGGTTAGCGAGAATTATCCATCGTCTAATGGTGTAATTAATTAATAGAGCACACATACAGCCTTCATTACTAATACCCATTTAATCCAATTAGATTACCAAACCTATCCAATTTCCAAACCAAGTCGGTTATCGAACCTCATCATTTCTTGACTCAAATAGTTTTCTCAAGTCAAACCACCCCCAAATGCATATGATGCATGTGATGTTTTGTTTACCATATTTCACCAAACCATGGGCACCAAACCCTTCATTTCTATACCACATTCAAAATCATCATGGTCACACAAGGAATACAAGACCCACCTATTAGGGTTAACCAATTTCCGTAATTGGGTCCTAGAAATATGTTGGAGTGTATTTGAAATGTGATTTCCTTCCTAACCCGAAATTGAGCCTTGATAGCTGAATTTTGCTTCTACTAGATCTAGGTCTTAATTTTGATTTTTTATCTTACATTCTTTGCCTTCTAACACTTTATTTCATACTTATTTAGGTGTAATTTGCCCATCATTATGGAGTTGGATGCTTGGAACTCAAGTTCTAAAAATGAAGGGTTTAGGCCAATTGTTTCCTAGTTTAAGCCAAAATTTCCATTTTCTTAGAATCTAACCTTTCTATATTTTATTTTATACTTATTTAGGTGCATTTAAACCATTGATTCACCAATTATAGGAGTGGAACTCAAAGCCTAAATTTTTGAGCTTAGGTCGAATGGGGTCCGAAAAGGTAAATATTGTCTTTTGTTTTTATGTCATTTCTTTTCACCCTAACTCACTACTTTCTACTTCATTGGGTTACCATGGAGTTCTAGATCTTTAATTCCATAAAAACAAATTCAAACTTAGCCATTTTGGTACCTAGGCCGAATGGTTCTCTTAAAGATATCCAAGCCTATGTTGTTTTAACCAAACCCATCTAAAACAAACCCATCCACACATATTTAAACATACATCACACATAGATCTCATATGGATAAATCAATATACCAACCATTCATCATCACACATGTACGGACCAACCATAAGGTTCCCCACTAAATGGACATCAAGCCATCTAACACATATTATAAACACAATTTATATAAACCAACATAAATAACATAATAGAAAACCTTCACCAATCACCTCATGTAAGCATATAGATAAGAAATTTAGAGCATAACATAAATTAACATGAACCTATTTACTTTGCTTTACCTTTCCTAAAGATTGCCTAAGCTTCCCTTTTTCTTTTTCATTCTCTCCTTTCTCAAGTCTCTTTCTTTCCTTCTTTTTGATAGCTACGATTTGGTCTAAACAAAAATGGCAAAGTTGATATCTTTCTCACACTTTTATACCACTTTTCCTCTCATTTATGAGTATTACATGTGTCAAAAGTTCATGGTAGAAAATGTCAAATGGTGGAGACAAAGTGGAGGCAAGTGGCGGGTTTGACTTCCAAAAATGATGAGGTGGCGCAAATTGGAGCATGGTGGAAGATTAGGTATCCACCTAGGAACTAATAAAGGGTAACTAAAGGTAACCAATTAAATCAACTTTCTAAGGTCATTTGGTTCCCAAAATTTGGCCCATGCATAATGTTTGGGAGATTCTTTCACATGTATGGTCTTTTAGATATTATTTGTTATGGGAATAGTAAATAATGGCTAGTTAAATACCTAAAAGGTTATTTCTATAAGCACTTTCATGAACATTAGATCTTTTAAGACCACGTAATATAAAAAAAAATGTCTCATAAATTACACCCACATCCAATAAATAATTATGGATAGTTCAGGAGATATTTTTCTCAAAAATTAAAAATTTGACATGCCTAAAAAATTATTTTCTTCTTCTTATTATTATTATTATTTTGACTTTTTTCCCACATTTCGGCACTCTCCACCCCTTAAATAATTTATTTCACTTTATAATACGTTCTAATATATGTTAAAGAAAATAAATGATAACTAGCTAGGTTATCCGATATACATCTCATAACCCTCGGATAAACACTACGCATTGTGCACATCACAAAGTATGAAAATGGCAAAGTAATCACACAAAGACTTAGTATATGCCAATATAATAATTTCAGTACGTATAGCTATGTAGTTAAGGAATTCATGAGGGTTACATACTAGGCTTAGCTTGTTGGGCAAGCCAGCCTTTTCCTTTTTTTTTTTTGGGTTTAAGTCAGGCTGAAATCGGCCTAAGCCACGACCATGCGAATTGGGCTTAGCCTAATTCGCTTAAATTCCCCACTCACTAGGCTTGGCCTAGCATTTCGCCATTTCTTGATCAAAACCAAACCCCAAGCCATATAACATTTTTCTTAAACTAACCCCGGATTACCTATGATCGAAGCCCTATACGTTTCGTTTTTTTTTGTTGCCTCTTCTAGTTTTGTTCAATTTTCAACTTGCTATTACAATAAAAAACAAAGAAAACAAGCTAAAATCATACTACCTAAATATTCTTCTCTCCTAGGTAGTAGTGGGTGCCTCTTCGAGTTTAACGATTGAATTTACCGGAGCATCGGTGTGTAGATTATGGCTTCCACGTCTTTTCTATGGTAATTTTTATGCTAAGTGCGAGCCATTAGGATTAAATATACAAGCTTTAACCAAGGGCTTGAAAAAGTAGAGCTTGATGGATGTGGAGTGGTGGGGAGCAACTAAGGGCTAAAGTTGAAGAATAAAGGTGTTTGTGGTAGTGTGGTTGGCAATTGAGTCGGACTCGAAGGATCGAGGCTTGTCTAATGGGAAGATTGAGAGTTTGAGGGGTTGATTTGGTAAGGGATAAGAACTTCGGGTAAGCTTAGGGTGGTCGAAGACCGAGTAATGGGTTATAGTAATTGGAGGACCGGTGTTTGATTAAGCTTTGATTGGTGGGTGATAGCAATGAGGGAGCTAGGTTGTAGCTGAAATTTTAGTTGTGGATTTAGTAGAGGAGAAAGAGGATAAGAACTATGTTTTTGGGAGATATGGACGATAAGTGTTTGTGTTTTTGTCTATGATAGAGTGAAATTATTATTTTAGTTATGGAGGTAGTCGGTTATGGTGTATTAGTGTTGGTGAATTTCTAGCGATAGGGGAGACGTAGATGACGGGGTCGGTAGGGAGAGGATGATGTTTTAAAGACTAGTTTAAAGGTTTTATGGGCTGGATAAGGAGGAGCTATCAGTTCATGATAGAGGCTACGTAACTAGTGGTTGTAGAGGGAGGTTGTTGTTGAGGTTGAGGTCTGAGGTCGGTTATGTGAGTGTTGAGTATCATAACCCAAAAATTCTCTTTTTTTTGTTATTTTAATTATTCCTTAATAATTTTATTTCATTTTACTTTGTTTTAGAATTTACTATAAAAACTATATATATATATATATATATAATTAGGGGATTTTACACTCAATAATGCAATTGAACTAAATAAAAGTTTAATTAAAGTAATTGGGGAACCAATGGATATAATTGGATTTATAAAAACTAAAATTGCTTAGCAAACGAATTTAATTGATAAAATTCAATTTACGAGAACTGAAATTGCATATAAAAGAGCATGATTGCGAGCAATCAAAATTTGTAGGGACCAAAGTGAAATTTAGAAACAAAAACCAAGACCATTCAGTTTAATTTTTCCCTATAAATTCGTTCCTAAACTAAAAAATTAATGTTGATTTTGTTGCACATTGGACAAAAATCCTCGCCTTTTCTGCCGATTTGAATCCACGAATCATGTTGGATTTTGCAACAAATCCATGTCGCCATTGGTAGCCACCCATGGTGCCTCCGTTGCAATAGCTCCCTCTCACTCGTTTGATGTCGATTTAGCTTATAAATAAAGGGAAGAAATCAATTTCAAGGATTGGAAAAAAGTGGGGGAAAAACTCTTGGAAAATTCTAGGTCGAGCCATAAAGTCGCAAAGGAGCCTCCGCAAAAAACCTAAACAATGTAATTTCTTAGGAAAAAAATAAAAGCTAGGCAACCATCTTCACCGGAAAAAGATGGTCGCCATGGCTATTTCTACCTTCACCAAGCTCCACCGGATCACTCTCATAAAAGTAGCCAACCTCTTATTTCGATATCTTCATCTTCACCTTGTTACTAAACATTGTGAAGCTATTACCAAACCCGTAAACCCCATTACTCCAAAAATCACCGGACCATTAGGACAAAGAAAAATTAGCTAACAAACCGCCCGACCTTCCTCCTAGACTACCCGAAGCCGACAGACCAACAAATCCTCTATCTTTAACATCATATTAGGTGCACATAATCTATAACTAAGCCGTAACATCAAATAAAAAACTACAAAAGACCCCTACTCTATAGGAACTCAATATCAACCAGTCACCTCCTGCTTCATTGTCAAACCCGAGACCACAATCCAAACACTCACAAACCGAAACAAACCTTCACACTACCATGGTTTGAAGTCCCCTCTCTTAACCTACAAACAACCTTAGCTCTGTCTTTCTTTCCCTAACCTAAAATTTCAATGACCTCACCTACAAACCTTTTCCCTCCTATTGCCATTGAAACCACAATCACCACTCACAATCCAAACTCCAATCAAGCTCGAACACCCCAACCTATCCTACCTCCACACAAGTTTTAACTAGCCTAGTAATAGCCTTTACCAAATTAGTCATCGTAGCCATACCCTTCTTCCACCATAGCCTACCGCCTACACAACCAATAAATACACCTCTCATAGGTAAAAAACCCAAACACCCGATGTGCATATCTCCATAAACCATCATCCACTACTATCTACTATCTTTATAGTCTTCTAATACCAATAACTCTTTCAAAATGAACACACACGCTACACTAGGGAGATCCAATCGCCTCCATCTCTATCAAACACCCTATAGTCTTCTACCCACATCACAACCACTAGCCTCGTAACTATCAACCCCTCTTACAACGCCAATCGGCCGTGCCTCCATCTCATCCCAAGCTTCTTTTAGTGAATACGCATCAGCGATAAGCACATGCCATCCTACGCACATGACCACGATCGAGCGAACAACCGGCCATACCCAAGTAAGCGGCCCATCAACCAACCGGTGCGCACTCTACCTCCTCACATATCAAGCCACATAATAGCATATCACCGTCATATTTAGTAACTTTTCGACATTGGTGGTAGTGGACAATGACACTACTATCAACCATGATCTATCGATTTTAGGTGTTTTGGAGGAGTTTGGAGTTTTTTCCCGATGGTGATGATCTTTTTTAAAAAAAGAGAAGTAGACAAAGGGCGAGAGAGAGAGGAAGGTATAAATTTTTAGTCTTGTTTAATTTGAGGATGATTTTAAAAAAATTTTACATGGCACAAGCTTTTTTTTGTTAGAAATAAAAATGAGAAGGGTTAGAAGTCCAACCAATATGAATAAGGGTCGGATCGTCCAACTCGTGGGAAAGCCAAGGTTGGATGAGTCCAACCCTTTAACCAAGGGCTAGACTATCTAGCCTAAGCCCCCTTAAAAAAAAGAGAAAAAGAATAGAAAAGGTTGGCCCGTTCAACATGCTAGCTCGACAGTAACCCCAATGGGCCCAAAGCCTACAAAAACTCGCCTAATATTTTTTGTAGTTTTGATTAATTTATTTTTTTATATAATATTGTCTTGAATGTTTATTTATTCATGCTTATCTTATGATTATTCTAGATTTTAATATTCTAATATTTATTTATTTATTTTGAAATCTTATTTAGTTAATTTTAAGTAATTTTAGCTTTAGAACTTTAATTTCAAAATTAATTTAATAATTAAATGATAGGTTAATCGTCGAGTCTCCTATTTGTTTTTGAGATCATGACGATTCTCTATAACAAAAAATAAAAATAATAAAAATTCTCAATGAAGTCTCATATCCGATAGGGACTTTCGTTAATAAAAAAAATAATAATGATAAAATAATAAAAAAATTCTTCATAAAGTCCCCTATTTGATAAGGACTCGTTATTATATAAAAAAATAGAGTTGAAATCGAAAAATAATTTGGCAAAATTAAAACACTTTAGAAGATAAATTTAGGACTAAACTAAAAGTGGTACCTTTTTTCGAAATGGTGCTTTTGTGTGATCGATATCTTCCCAAAAGCGTAACCGACCATTTACTATAAAATTTCGAAACAATGCCATTTTAGGTTCCTAGTTCCTTTAATATTAGGTGGCGACTCCAAACTCGGTAAATAACTCCGTAAATAATATCTTTAAACATAATAGCTTTTTTTCTTTTTTCGGGAGTCCTATTCGACATCGAATAGTGACGGAATGACGACTCTACTAGGGAGTAGAGTTCGACCATAGGTTTAGCCTATTTAGTTTATCTCATTTATTTATTTTTTATTATTTATTTTTTAATTTTTTTCTTTAATTTTGAGTTATTTTATTTGTCGTATATCTTTCAATTTTTGTAATTTAATTACAACAATTTATTTTTACACCGCACGTTTACTCTTGAATTAAGTTGTATGCTTGAACTCGTTGCACATATCACGAGGTAACCTATGAAAGCTCTAGACTCGAGGTAAACCCTATTATGATTAGATAGAGAGATTCGGAGGCAAGTATGACGAACGTTTACCGATGCTTTTTCAAACTCTCATTTGGAATGACACTCGTCCTATTCATAGGAAATGGTGGAATAACCTTCCCCTATCTCCTCGTGTATAAGATTAGAAGTTGAATTACCCCACTAGTAATTTAGACGGTTTAGAAACTTGCAAAGACTTCGGGATTAGATAAGTTGTGCTTAAAACCGAGAAAAGCTAGTTCTTGTCCATTAGGTTTGACTCGTTAAGACACGATTCATTTTCTAATGATATCCATTTTAACCTTATTATTTGAAGGATATCGTCAAAATAAATCATAATAGAGAATGCCATCAAGGATTTTAGGGTCGGATCGGAATGGATCCAGTTTGATTAAGGAGGCTATCTATGTTAGATCTTATATAAAATGAAAAAAAGAAAAAAAGAGACCTTCAAGCATCGAGTACTCCATTGAAGATGAGCTCATAACAAGATTCGACAACTCGCATAGTTCCCGTTGCCTTAAGCCCCGGGTATGAAATCATAAAGGGTAGAATAGTAATTTAGTTTTATTATAAATGTTATAAACATTATATTGTAAGTAGTTGTTATAAGTGATTATTGAAAATAGCCACATCGTTTTTATTCTTCAATGATAAATGATTCTAAGTTACATTTAGAATGGGTTTGAAGTCTAAATTTGAAAGTCTTTTATATATGCTTGTTACACGATGAGCTCATCACTCGATGTCTTAAAAAAAAATTCATGTTAAAAAGATAAACTCAATCCCGGTAGATATGTTTTTCAAATCACCTCAAATATCTATGGGATTAATATCTCATTTAGTCCATCCTCGATACAAATTCTGTTATGATTTGAAGTCTACAAAGGCAAAGTAAAGTATCCAATCCAATTCAAATCATGCATATATATAATGTATATTTATTTTACATATCTATTTTGATATTGTTCACAAGATTTGAAATATAGGCTACCCTATCAAAACTTAACTCCTCTCCCGAACATGTTACACTTAACTCTATGAGGGAAGATGGAAATTGAAGAGAGAGCATAGTGGGAGCATGCCCACCGATAAAAAAATTGATCCATAAAGAGAAAAATTGCCCATTTGTCTAAATTACTAAAAAGCACTCGCTTGTATTATTAAGTGGTGGGGGTACATTAAGTAAGATCGAGCTAAGTTTTGAATTGTCATTCGCCCTTCCAATGCCAACTTGCGATCATAGGCCATCCACTATTTCACTCATTAATATGAAGCAACCATATTCTCTCGCTAAAACATCATTACCTGTTAGGCCATTTCGTATACGATGGGTCCATAAGTTCTATCGATACAAGGTACACCCGGTGCATACATCGCTATTGGAAAAGTCCATGGGATTAAGGCAATGGAAGAACCTAGTTCAAAAAAGCTATTTGCAATTAAAGAATGCCTCAAGGCCACCAAAGGTATCGATGTGCATGAGCTGGTGCGAGTTGCTTAGAATGTACACAATGTCAAATATGGCAATTCCTAGGAAACTCGTAGTTCCCGAATTAGCAAAATATGTGGGCTCTCAATGTAAACGATAGCAAAATTGTTTAAGTTATGAGAATCCGTTGATACATTTCTTTTGTAAGAGTCAAAATAGATCTTTTTTAAGCTAATGTATGAGATTAGATGGTGCCAAGATCAAAGAATAGAGAGATCAAACCGATGCTTTCATCCAACATAACAAATTTGATAGAGATATTGTTCCAAATCGATAATGCCTATAAAACAATCAAAATTGAGAAGGTTCCCAATGGTTTTGAGAAGAAAGGAAGCAAGGATATCAAGAAAAGGAATGGCAAAATATACTAGGCCGAGATTGAATTCTCTCGACTCGAAATCGATGGAGTAATCGAAAAAGGCATAAGAACCATCAAAATTTCAACAAACATCCGAAACCCTACATCTATCTAACATGTCTCTAACCTAACACCACAATAGTCGGCATTCTACCAAAACCCAAATACAACCTTACCTCAAAAACCAATAAAAAAAAGTGCATTATGTAAAAAAAAAAAAAAACCCGAATGCAATCACATTCCAAAAGCCTACATATCATGTCTATCAAATCAATAAAACCAGATCCTACTTGTCTAGTCAAACTCACCCAAAGAAGTTGATTTCTCTTAGATGCTCTAATATTCAAAACCATGGACAATTATGTCCTAACTTTTCTTGTTAGATAAAACATTTGAGCATCCGGTAAACATCGAGGAAATCATTATGTCATAGGTTAACTTGATGAATCCCTTATATTCCTCTACGGTATTAAGCAAATGAGAGAATGAATTTCGATTAAATATAGCTTGGTATAACATTGATGATTATCTTGCTTCTAAAAAGAAACTATTAAATTTGATCAAGCAAGGTTAGGTCGGTTTTGGTAGCGATCTAATTATTTTTCTTTTAAGAAAAAGCTATTGGGTTTGATCAAGCAAGGTTAGTCAATTCCGAATGGTCCGAATGCTCTTAATGTGAACATCAACCTATTCTTAAAGCATCCGGTCATCAACGCACGAGATGGAAATATTGTGTGAGCTTAAAAATTTTAATGCATCCTCATAATTTACAATTATAGTCTTTTTAATTTTGTTAAATTTTAAACTCCATTTACAAAAATAGAAAAGAAAAAAATGTTTTAGATATGCATGGATTGAGTCATGTCTTTGAATAAAGGAGCAACTCCTATCCACTTTCTATAATTCCATATTGTTTGATCTAAAATCAAGAGATGTTCATTTGAAAATACTATTTGGCATTGCATCTTCCTCCATTAAGGAAATATAATGAAAAATTCATTCAAAAAAAATTTTGCAAAAAGAAAATTGATAAAATTTCAAAACATGAAAGATATATGCTAGAGACAATTCTTCAATTCATGAAACCAATGATACATCCTCCTAATAACATTTTTTAGCAGAAAGTAATAAGGTAATCCTCCATTTTGTTAAAAAAAACAAACAAAAAAAGAAATTCTTTATTTTCTCCTAAACTAAATCCTTGAAGGAATAGTTTTGCCTAAAAAAATATTATGAAGCCCAAAGGAAAGACTAAATCATTGGCTTCTCAAATAATGATGAACGATACATCTTTAAATCATGATCTCAAATTACATTCATCATTTTTCCTTTTAATCATTATTTGCCAAAGAGATTAGCATTTTTCAACCTAGGTTAATCGATCTTTGAGATAAAGAAAGGTTATCTTTCGTATATCTCGTAAATGTTTTATCCCTTGTTGTCCCACTTTGATCCCGATGATTTTTTTTTATCATAACCCGGATTAGGATCACCCCTCACACTCGGGGATAGAATGTACAGTTCATGAATGGTCGATAAAACTCTCAAAAATTTCTATCAACGGAATCCCATTAATGATACTAAAAAAGGAGATGTGAAGAAAAAAAATCAAAAGAA